TTGTAATCGCCACGAAAAAAAAAAGATTGAGGAGGGACAGAGCACAGACCTGTCTGCCAGTGCTTATTTACTGCGAAAGTAAATAAGCACATAATGACCCTGCTCTGTTACTCCAGCCGGAACATGGTGTATGGCTTATCAGGTGAATAATGTGTTTACATTCGACAATCCATCGTTGAAGTCGGTTAGTTGAAGATGAAGAGGGACAAGAGGAATGAGATATTAAGTTTAGAACACTGGTGTATTCAGACATCTAGGATTGTATGCATATTGTAAGAGAACCTAATAACGATCCTTTTGACTTTTTGCAAAGGGCTCAAAATCATTTGGACACGCTGACCATTTTAGGTTGTTTCCATAGCGTAAAAATTACTCAGGGGAGCATTTCAGCATTTCAAAGTTGCACCAGAGAGGACTATTTGGTATCAAGAAGCAATATTGTCTTGCTCAATCTTGATTTCCTTCTTTTTTCCCTTTGGTTTAGGATTTATGAGAATCCATTTGTCAGACAGTGAATGAATAGTATGATTACTATTTGAAAATTGACATAAAGAACAAATCAGTGCCCAATTTTACAGTCATGATGACTTCACCAACCAGGGAGTAAATAGTACCAGCTCCTATTTACGGTATTATGACCTACCTACCATTAATGAAATCTCTGTTTTGAATCCAGCTAGGGACATTTGTTGCATCTCTCTGTGAAATTGTGAAATAAGTTAAGAATTGATTCATACTCAACTCATTTTTATAAAATGTTATTTAAGCCATATTATTTTTTAAGTTTTATTTTTATTTTGTTTATTTTATTTTTATAGAACTTACTTCACTATAGACAGGGTGTTGTTCTAAATAAAAATATGAATTCTCAAAAGTCTGCTTTTATTTCATAAAGACTTTTTTCCAATAACACTTGTATTTCATGTCATTTTTTATTTCATAATGTCACTTTTCATGGCCATGGCGTCACCGTCCTCTCATCAGCCAATCACATGTCCCCTGCCTCTTAACGTAGCAAGCTCCTACCAGAATTAGCCAGTTAGCACCTGTTAGCTAGAGAAACAATGTCAAACTTGACAAGAAATGTGTCATCGGGGAAAAATGTCATAATGAAATTAGGGCTGAAACGATTCATCGATAAAATCGATTAATAAAATGCATCGACATAAAATCTTTGCATCTATGCTTCGTTACGCTGTGAACACGATGGGATTATAATGGAGCTGTTTGCAAAGTGGAGGAAGGGAGAGAAAATAGCGAGGGACAAAGAAGAGTGTCCAAAGTATGGGATTATTTCAGGCTAAAGAAAACAACAACTCTGTAATGTTACCGTCCGTCCACCATAAAACGAAACTTATGTCGCCTCAGCAACAGCACGACGCCTTATCAGAAAGCAGCCGGTGTTCTGCCAGCGAACCACAGACAAGGTAACATTAACAGCAACTTTAGCAACTCACTGAGATCATGATTGATTGTTGAGTTGAAGGCTAGCCAAAGTAAGCCGCAGTCCTCAGCTGAAAATTTACACACGTGCGTTTGTTTTTCTCCTTTTTGGGCTGTAAGTTATAACCTCACAGTCATGAGTTAACTGGGTGTCGGGGAGCTGCACCTTTTAACTCACCTCCAGCTCTCTCTGTAGCTCAGACAATCCCTGCTACCTGCGTGTGCTAATCCATCCTTTCACCCAGATTCTTTGTCTTTATAATTGCTATCTTTATAACAACAAACAACAGCTGTTTCGTGTGCAGGATTGCTCATTTCCCGTTTCACATTTCACATGTATTTTCTTGACAAAACTTGGTTTGGAGACCTGCGCTGCCTGGCAAAAGTACTTCTTAAACAACACATCGATGAATTGTTGAAATAATTGAAGCTTCAAATACTAAAATCATCGTTAGCTGCAGCCCTAAATGAAATAAAAACAGACTTTTAAAAAAGGTCAAGAAAGAGTTTCTATAAGGAGATAAAAATGATTTCAAATAAAATTCAATTATTATGAAAATTAATGATGAAATAACATTTCATAATCTTGAGTTGAGTTCGAATATCTTTTATTATTATATTATTTATATTTTATTATTTCACAAATTGTTGGTTTGTTTATATATTTTATATGGTTCGTATGATTCTTTATTTCTTAATGTCTCTTATTAATGTTGAGCATTTTGGGGTTCCTGGTAGCTTTCCATTATCTACTAATAAAGGAATCAAATGCAGAAAAATACATAATAACCCTCTTTATGGTTGCAAAATCTATTAATATGTTTTCTATAGCACTAATATAGTGTTTTTAATCTGAGAGCAGAACAAAGCACATTCACAGTGCTTCTCTCCCATAGACACACACTCATACCCAGTGCATGCTGTGCTACGCTGCAGAACCCCGGCAGCCGTCAACAGGATGAACGGGTGTAGGAAATGGATTGATTGTTTTCCTAGCACAGCATCCCAATTTGTCAAATAAGAATATACACTATTAATTTCAACAGTATTTCATTAAAAACCAGCAGTCAAAATATGTACATTTCTTGGTACTTTCACTCAAATTACATCATTTGCACCCCCGTCACTCAGGCAACACATCCCTGTCTCTGAAAGTGTGGAACATTCCATGTTTGTAGCTTTTTTGAAGTCCTTTTTTTTACCATCGACATTGTCAGTGAGCCCAGCAGTGTGCATTAGACATTAAAAGCTCCGTATATCTAAAATAGGCCTCTGAGCATTTGAAGGAGCTGTGCTGCTTTTAACTTGCTGTGGAAAATGGGAGCTTATGCTCCCTCAGTCCTTTGTTTCCTGATGGTTCCAACTCTACACTGCATCAGCTCTGAGGAGCTTGGGACTTCAGAGGGCCCTCTTGAAGCCATAACATCAACCATGCAGAGAGTAACACAGAAAGTGTTACAAAAGTGTCCTGGGAATTTGACTGTTTTCAGGATAATAAGTAGAAAGAGCTTGTGTTAACTTAGGAAAAAGTCGCTTGAAAAACCCACTGCATGTCACCTCTTCTGCCTGTTTTATAAGACCACTGTATGAAAAAGGTAATTAATCTGGCATTTTTAGCATTTTTATGTTGAAAATCAAGTACAGAGTTAGCCAAGCAAATATAAACTGGCTAACAAAATCTTTGCAGACTTGTGGTTCCTATCAAAAAGAGGACAGAAATGCATAAATAAATAAAATTAACTAAGAAGGGCCCACACATACTCTCTGGATACGCTTACCTGGAAGATATAATATTGATGTTGTTGGAGGAAGATGCTTCCCAGTTCTTCTTCGGGAGGTCTGCTGAGCCCACAACTCCAGGTCAGAATGAGTCACCAGCGGTCTGGGACGTGAAGGGGTCAAAGGGTCTGGAACATGGGGGAAACAATGCTGAATGTCAAACTGAGGGGAAGACACAGTGGGCCAGCCAAGGCAACAGCACAGCACTGCACTCAGCTAGCTGCCCTGGCCTGTTGACTGAAGTGTTTTGCTCTTTCTCCAATGTCTACAGCATTGTACACAAAGTCCAAAACAGGTCAGATTGGCATTGACAATGCACTGCATGCTGGAGCAAATGCCATAACATCACAGTGTTGTAGTGATAGTGTGTGAAAGCAACTAAAACAGCAATAACAACAATTCTTGTCTGACAGCTTCTTATGACCAATAATAGTTAACATCACTTGCGATGTTTGCAGCAGCAGTGATTTGTTAATGACAGGGTTAATGATGCATACAGGATGACACTCCAAGTGGAGGTAAATTTACTCACAGTCTCCTTCAGCGTGTGTGTGTGTGTGTGTGTGTGTGTGTGTGTGTGTGTGTGTGTGTGTGTGTGTGTGTATTGTGTTTGCTTACACACAACTGTCACTTAACCAAATATGAAATCTGTAGCTGTCCTTCTGTGAACAATAACAGACAGAAAGGCCAGTGGTACCAAATGGAGAGCAATAAGGTAAATGCATTCAGTCAGGACAACAACACATGTGAACTACTCCTTACCACTCACATCTAATCTGATGGCCAGGGACATTGCTGACACTGTATCCCTTGACACTGATGAAAACCAAAGATAAGATGGAGGACACTATAACTAACTTTACCTAATGACAAAACCAGTATTATTCAATAAAGGCGTCAATTACCCTACAAAAACATACGTTTCTTCTAGAAGAGTGTAAAACTAGTATCTGTATCTTATTGGTTAAAGGAAGAAGAAGAGACATTTTGGGAAATATGCTTTTTTTCTTGCTTGCTGAGAATTAGATGAAGAGATTGATACCCATTGTCATGTCTGTACGCAAAATATGTGGCTGGAGCAAGCTTAGCTTAGATGTGGATAAAAAGTTGGAAACAGGGAGAAACAGCAAGCCTGGCTCTGTTCAAATGTAACAAAATCTGTCAGTACATCTAAAGCTCACTAATTAACATATTTCATCTTGTTTGTTTATCCTTACAAAACCCAGTAGTGTAAATTTGACAATTTTGCTGATTTTCACTGGATTAGGTGCCAGACTATAGTATTTTAGTGAGCTTCAGAGGTGCTGCAAGGCTTTTGGACAGAATCAAGCTAGCTCCCCCTGTGTCTCTTTGCTAGGCTAAACTAACCGGCCACTGGCTCCACCATATCTTGCATACAAACATGATCGTATCTTCTAGCTCTCAGCAAAAAGCTAAAAGCTAATTTCCCAAAACGTTGAACTATTCCTTTAACTTAAAAGGAACTGTGTTCATATTTATATTCAGGTTTAAAATGGAAATAAGCAAAGTATAAATCCTGCAATGTCTGGATTGCTAAGGAAATTCATTTCATTATAGTTGTTAATAGTTATAGTTATTATAGACTGAAACCTTCACTGTATTTACAGTGGACAGCACTGACTGGTAATGCTTGATCTTTAATAAATAAGACAATATCGGACATTGCGACAAGTATGTCTTATTAATGTATATCTGAGGCCAGAAACATGTGATGTTATTGGAAGACACAATCTAAAAACAAATGATTTGCACACTAGACTTTGTTTATGCAGTAGTAACAATTTATTTATGATTTTAAAATGTTAAAATGTACAACAATCAAAGGCATTTGATATGACTTGTGAGCATGTCACATTTGCAAAAGTTAAAGTACAAATTCTGCCACATTTGTACCTTAAACTTTTAAACAAGAATTCCAACGGCAATTTGTAAGCTTTTCAATTTCAAGAGGCAATGGATGCGCTCTGCAGTTTGCCAGATGTTATTCTATTTTACATATGAAGAAACCAAAATGTCATTCAAAAACAAACAAAAAAAAACCTCTTAACTTTATGTCACAGGCAAATTATATGATTTGATTTAAATAGTATGGCTCATTTTGTTTAAATTCCTCTATTCTTGTCAGGTTTCCGGCAGAGAGGACCCAAATGCAGATCAGAGTTAGACAGTTTATTCAAAGAGAATCAGCAAGGGAAGTCTGAGATCTCTCTGAGGGCTCTCTCCAGGTCCGGACTGTAGGGAAATCCGTGAGCTGGGAGTATCCAGGCTGCGGGCGGAACCGAAGCTAACAGGCGGGTGGTTGCTGAGGTGGTGGGAGTCTTCTGGGAGAGACAGAGAAATAAAGGTTAACCAAATGCAACAATTCACAAGGTTCTAGGCTAGTCAAAAGGTTGGCTGGGGTTGACACAACATACGCACGGAGATCAAACGATCCGGCAGGGACTGGATGTCTGAGCCTCTCCTTTAAGCAGCGGTGATTGAGGAATGCAGGTCAGGTGTGCTGATTGCAGATGGGACTCAGGTGAGTGCAGAGCCCGCAGCAGACACGCCCCCAGCTCCCAGACTAGAGAGAGAGAGAGAAGAAGAGCCAAGCAGAGACAAACAAACGACACGCTCACCACACGCACACCAGACAGACATCCACAACAATCACAGGCTCACAGCAGGGGCCTCATGACAATTCTACAATAATCACTTTGGTGTTGTCAGACAATTTCATCACCAACTTCCCATTCTTTAAAAGCTGCCTTTGCCTTATCTTAATTTATTTTGCTAAAAGATTTAGTGAGTACATCTCCAAAGTTGCACTGTGGTGTGTGTACAGTGTTTTATCTCATATCATCTGGCATTTCATAGTGTGAATCAAACTTTAAGAGCAGGTATTTTAACTTTAACTTAAGTGTTTGATTATTTTAAAACAGTTGTGCTCCTTTTGTTTTTCAGTCGATGAACACACATGTTCCTAAGTGAAAACTTTAGGGTCCTGAAGGTAATATTTCCATCCTTTCTGAATGGGAAACACGGGTTGATATAAATTACCACGGCGACTGCTCATTAACACCATTGATTAGCTGATTAGCTGGTCATGAAGTCATTGTGCACGTTGTGTGCATAGCAATCAGCTCCATATTTTTATCTGAAGCTCTCCTCGTCCCAAAACAGATGCCAAGAAAAGGGGGGAAAAGAGAGGAGGGAGGTTTGATCAACTTAATTAAAGCCCATTAGACATTCTGTGAGGTGGATTGGATCAGCACTGTATAGAATAGAAATGAATGGAGGAGGCAGTGATAAATGAGAGCCTGCCAATGCACAAACAGACCTAAAGTGTTGCTGTGAGGTGGATAACAATCAAATGGACTAACAATCATGTTGTCCCAGCCCTAAATTATAAAATGGAGGCATTATTCAGGGATGGATTGTCTTGTGTCGGCATACACACTGTTGGGTCAATGCAGCCGTTAGTGGAGCTCACATTTTCACATAAAAATCCTTCTTTTCGGCTCATCAGCTTGTATATAACTATCATTAGTCTGTCAGTAGCAGAATTGGAACATGCAGCAATACGTACTTTGAATAAAGAGATAGAAAGGACTCCTTCCTCATTGACTTTCTTTACAACAATATCTGCCTAATAAATGAGGCTATAAGCCAGTGTTTCCATAAGGTATGAAATCCCCCGGCTTCAAATGCATAATGCTTTAGACTGTAATAGACACCTCTGATAGGGGGCTTGGATATCCAGGAAAATGACAACAGCAATTACTCTGTAAGCCAAGAATTTACATCATTCAAAAGATGAAAAATGTGCAGGTTTAGGGAATGAAAAAAAGATTCATGTTTGTATCTTCAAAGTGAGTATTCAAATAGAGGGAGGAATGACATAAGTGCAGCATCTCTGCATTGATATGGGTGCTGAACACCTTCAGACCTGTCATTACTGTTCCTCATGAAATGAGCATTAAAAGAGTGGAGGAAGATCCCCCATGGTGACATTTAGAAAGTTGCCTTACTACTGCTTTGATATTTCAAACAGTTTGAGGTTTAAACATGCCATCTTTGAAGACTCACCAGTTTGTAGAGAATGTCAAAAATAATACAAGCACTTTGCAAAGGGGAGGATTTGCTTAAGTTTTATCAAACAGTTTTCTCGATGAAATCTGATGCTGCCCAACATACAGTACAAGCAACAACAAGATCAAGGAACGTTATTCTGTTTTCTTCTTGTAGACTGTGTACGCCAAGGGATTGAAACGCCAATTATGAGTAATAACAGCTGAAAAAAGATCTGTAAATATGTTTACAATAATAAAATCACTATTATGTAGCTTAGCATCACATGCTACAGCTTTCCACCATGACACGTATCAGAAATGTGATAATCTAAAATAGTCTCTGTGGAGGTAAAAGCATGACATAGATTGTTTGTAACCTGTTTTAAACAGTTTGAATAATTACTGGAATGTCATTAGACCTGCAGTAACTTACAACTTACTATGACGTTCAATTATTCTTATTTTTCTTAGCTTTTGCACTTAACAACATGATATTCTGTTTTAGAAATGAATGAGCTGTTTGTTTTTCAACAGATTTTAATCCAAAGGGAGTTAGCCATCCCCGCTGTCCGTGACAAGCAGCCCTGTTAAGATTGGTGCTCCTCCCCGCCACCCACAGCAGCCCAATAATGGTTTGTTATGGCCATGCCCTGAAAAGTGATGATACACCACTTTGGCCAGCCATGCTTGCTCACCGTTAAATAGGGATATCTCTTTTTTTTTTTTTTGAACACCTTGCTCCACTGCTCTGTCCATCATAATAAGAGCTCTTACATCCCAGGCCTGCCTGTGAGGGAGAAATCTGTGTGAAGCAGGGAATAACATATCACTTGGTATGCCTGGAAGCCCCTGCAAAGCCACAGTCCTAATGAAATATTAATCGGAGGCTCTACGCTAATGATAATGCACTATCAAGCATGAGTTGGTCCAGCTGAAGCAGGCAGCTCCCTGTCACACTTGTGTTATGACAGGATGTCCCTGCTATTATAGACCACAAATGAGATTTGAATCTGTGAATTACAAAATGGTTAAAGTGGTGGATCACTGCATTTATTAAGTCTTTACAGCCCTTGATTTCCTCAAACAATTGCACAATAGGCCTTTTACACAGTAGCCTTTTATTTAGATCATATACCCATTAAACTGAGAGGTTGCACTGATTGCCTGTAGATTTATTTTTCCATCTCTCTTCCTCATTTTTAAATAAATTTACTTTTAGCCGTGTTTTACTGTATGGAATTATTCTGCAATATTTGTGCCCTGTCTAATGCTATTAATCAAACACATTTTCATTCTATAAACCATCTTTCCCTGACCTTAAGTAAGTGGTTTCAGTTGCCTAAACTTTAAGCCAAAAACTATTGAGCCCCTAGGCCACATAAGCACAACTTTGTAGTGCACACAAGATAGTTTCTTCCTCACATAGTTTCCCACCCTCACAACTTAGAAAGGGAAATAATTTTGTCCCCTTAGGGGCATTTCTTACATCTCACTCTCTGAGTTAAAGTTAAATTAATTTATGTTAACACTACAACAATTGCTGAGCGTTCAGACTCACGCTTGTGACGTCGCTGCCTCAAGTATCTACCTAAATGAAAGTTTTATCAACTGGCCAGGTGATTTCTTTAACAATTTATTTGCATTTGATGAAACTCCATGCTAAAGTAGCACTGGGTGATGAGGATTTTGTGATATTAAAGCTTTTTCAGGGAAGAAAAATCTACTTCTACATTACTCTTTGTCCTCTTGGCTCTAAACTGAACAGACTGGCAGGCCAACGCGCTGCAACCTACACGCTGCCCTGTATATTACCATATTTTGTCACAAATATATGGATTTGCTTTGACATCATGAACATTTGATCATGTTATACATTCTGCTGCCAATTACTTTCGCAAATATTCTTAAATAATTGGTTGTTTAGTCTATAAAATGTCCAAACTGTGACAGATGTCTGTTTGTCTGACCAGTTTACTATCTTGTAGACAAAGAAAAGCTGCAGATCTTCTCAACTAAGAATTTGGACTTATAGAGTGTTTGTCATTTTTACTTGAGACCTGAACAACAATTGTGAAACAATTACTCGCTTATCAAAATTTTTGCAGATTGTTTCTTAGATAGTCAAATACCTGACTAATCGCTTCAGATCTTCTACATACAAAGAAATGCTGTGGTAGTGTCAGACACAGTCATGCATGCTACCACTTTTCACAGGGATTGCCTCATTTTCTCTAAAAACAACAAACAAAAACTTTTGCCTTCAGAATTTTTTGAAAATTGCAATCATCACATAAAAAACCTACACATGATTGCTTTAAATACACACTGTGGTACCCACACACGCTCGTTCTGTTCAACATCAAGACTACTTTTACAAACAACAACAGATCACACAAGTGAGCCTACACAAAGCAGAAGAATATCTAATGCTCCATTGTACTTACAGCTCTTAAATTAATTGTACTGTGTAGAAGTGACACTGTTGAGAAGTCAGTACTGTGGCGTATCTTCATATTTCACACATGCAGCTATAAACACAAAGGTATCCACCCACACAGCATGCGCTTTTGAAAAGCAAGAGATCAAATCTACAGCAAAGTTATACTGATTGACAAGCAAGTTCAAAAGGAGCATTTTATCGCTTAGCTTCAAAGGGGAATATGTGGCTCTGTACATTGAGGCAACACAAGTCTCTTTAAACTTGAAATTAATTTCAGTCTGGCGAGGAAGGAAACATTTTAGTGTAAAATAATAAGCTACCTTCTATCAATTCTGCAGGAGATGCTATCTGGGCCATCGTAATGAAACTGGAGATCTAATCCGAGGAGAAACTCTGTTGTCAACAGTGATTTAAAACTCATGGCAGAGGCACCTCGCTGAGACAAATCCTCTTAGCCACTAAACATGAGACTGAAACGCTGTTCCTTACACAAGAGATGACAGAGTTTTGTGTGTCATCTAGGAATAGTCTCAACCTTGCTCGTGTGGGTGAATTAGCAGTGAGCACCATGGTAAAGCTGTATCAAAAGCAGATTGTTGTTCTCTTGTCAGTGGAAATGCTGAATGTTGCCTCCCATGCGGAGACACAGCAGTACAGCTGGTGCTGAGGTCAAGGAGTCAAGGACAAGAGGAGGATAGAACCAGAGATAAATGAATTGTTACATTCTCTGACATCTCACATCATGAGTGCAATATTCAGTTACAGCTGTAAAGTGTGTGTGTGTGTGTGTGTGTGTGTGTGTGTGTGTGTGTGTGTGTGTGTGTGTGTGTGTGTACTGTACATCTGTGTTTATTATTGTTTGTGCTCGTGTCACTGTGCATGACATACATGTGTGAGTGTATGTGCATTTCTAGCAGGAGCGGCAGCCAGCAGGATCCTGGCACAGGGATTCCTGCCCATCAGGACTTGATGAAGGGAACAGATGGAGCTCTCTGAGGTGTCCTCTCAGCTCGGAGTCCCCCTGATTCAGCTCTGCCTCCTAACCCCCACATCCCCACCCCAACACCCTCACCCCTCCAACCACTCTGTCCACCCCAACTACCACAGCCAGCTG